AGGCCACAATTATTCACATATTTCAACTAAAAGAATATATCATAGTAGATTGAATGTAGAAGCAGACATTAAAATCCAGCTGTTTTCTATTAAATGAGACATTAAAAAGATTTGCACCAATATATAATAATACCCCTTTTCATTAACTTTTAAAATGAAAAATAGTTATTTTAAGTTGTAATGTTAAAATTCATTAACATGCATTTTTTAGTTATTATTATCATTCTTTAAATATATTTTTATTGATTTCAGAGGGGCAGAGAGATGGAAACATCAGTGCTGAGAGGGAATCATTGATAGGCTGTTTCCTGCAGGCCCCCCACTGTGGATCAAGCCTGTGCCCTGACTGGGAATCGAACCTTGACCTCCTGGTTCACAGGTTGATGCTCAACCACTGAGCCATGCTGGCCGGGCTTAAATTATTATTTTTTTATTTCTAATGTGTGAAACATCAATATTTATAATCCACATAAGCCAAAGCTCTTTGGAGGCTTCAATTTTTAAGAATGAGCTCTGACACCAAAATGTTTGGTTATCTAGACTTGAGCTGAGGACTTTAGAAATAAGAGGCAGGGTGAATGAAGAGAAAAAGTCTAATTCAGGATACATTTTGAAAGAAGAATGTTAAGATTTGGTGATAATTCAATAGGGGGTGGATGAGATAATAAGCTTAATAGTAACTTGTATGTTAACTATGTTTTTTAAATTAGAGTCTAGAAACCAACAGAACCAGCGCAGGTTCATGGGTGGATACTCCTCTATAAATCCTGTTTTGGGAGATCCAAGGATGGGGGCATGGTTGATGGGAGAAGGAACAGCTAGAAAGAACAGACAAATTCTGGTAAGGAAGGAAGAACAGACAAATTCTGATAAGGAAGGAAGAACAGATGTTGGGCAAGGAGCAGGTCATAGACAGGTAGAAGCAGAGGAAGACCAGATGTTGGGCAAGGAGTAGGTCATAGACAGGTAGAAGCAGAGAAACATCAATCAAGACCATGTTTCATTTATCAGACTTGATTCAGAAATACTGCCTTGGAAGCTGATATTGAAGGTCCTACAGCTAGTAAGTGCTGGACATTGTCTGTGACGCCTAGAGCTCAGTAGAATTTAAGGAGGAAGAGAGTGGAGAGGAGGCTTTTTTTTGATGGGATGATCTTTGGTAACCTCCAGGGATCTTCACGGTTCTGACAGTCTGGCTTTAAGAAAATGGGAAATGAATGCAGTAAGTGTGGGCCAAGTTGGAACAGTTTGATAGTCAGAAAAACAGGAGGGAATTTGTTCTTCTGAGGGAATGGTGTGGTCAGAAAATATTTTTATAAGACAGAAGAAATATAAACAGAACTGGTTTTGTGTGTGTGTGTGTGTGTGTGTGTGTGTGTGTGTTTGTGTGTGTGTGTGTGTGTGTGTGTGTGTGTGTGTGTGTGTGTTTAAAGGTAAGAGAAATGTAGGCACATTAAATACAGATATGAGTTCATGGAACCTGAAAATTATATGTTAGTTAAAGAAGGGGTCTCTTGGTGTTAAAATTGGTAAGGCAAATGACCAACTTCGATATAGCATCTTATCTCAAAGATGTTTGGTTTGTAAGGTGTTGCTCACATCTTTTTGAGCCTTACCAACATATAACAGGTAGGTTTTGGCTACTTCCCTGGCGAGGAAACTAAAGAGGTTAACACTGTAAAAGGTCCAGAATTGCTTTAATGTGGGAAAGACCTTTTCTCTGAGACTGTGGGGGAAGGCAAATGAATGGGTATCAAGGGCACAAATAGGTTTGGAGTTAGAGTGGTGGTAAGTGGGGAGCCAGTCAGTTTATGGACTACACACTTGAGTGTCCCCGTCCTGGACATGGTCCAGCGGGTGTGAATAGCTAAAAAGAGGCAGACAGGAAGTGATCCGAGAAATTCCCTTTGCCATTCTCCACATGATGTTCCACAATGACATGATGTGAGGATTCTTTGACAGCGCTGGGAGCAATATCACTCTCCACTTGCCTAGTGGATTCCTAAGGAGTAAAGCAAATTACTCTCTCAACTCCAAATACAGCCAGTGTGAATTCTTTGGATATTTAAATATGTGAGATGTAAAAGCATCATTAAGAGAAGAGTTCTTTCTCTCATCCCTTAATCCCACTGTATTGGGGATGTTACAGCCATTACTGATCAGTGATTTAATATTAACTGCACAGATGAAAGGAAACTTTAGAGTATCCCAGTGGATTTTGGTTTGGAGTGTCATTTTGAAGTAAGAATTCGCTTAAAGAAAATCTCTCTGGCCGTTCAGATCTCAGGATTTGGCGATCAACTATGGAAGCAGAAACGCTTTTCCATTTCATTAGTCAGGTGCATCAGAGTGAGGCCCAAGCAGCTCATCTCTTCCAGATTGTCATTGTCACACTTTACCCTGATGTCCTTCTCCCAGAACGAAAAGTTCGGTGAGGAAGGCTCTGTGTGTTAGGGAGGGAAAGATGCAGACAGCTTGATGTGGATTGAGGAATTCAGACTGAAGGGGACTTCTGAGGTGGGGTAGGGGGAGGTCATTGGATGACCTTGTAGAAGAGAGTAATTTGAAAGGATAGTTGGGAAGCTTTCAGAAGAAAAAAAATAATCACAGTGTCTTAATGAATGCAAAAACTGAGATAATGTCTGATCACTCATTTCAAACCTCAGTAGGTTTTAGAACTGGGGTTAGAAGCAAAGTCCAGGTCGAACAGTTCCGAGAACAAGTTAATGGTGCATCTGGGTATCTTGTCAATTCAGGCAGAAAGCCTGGACTTGCCACCACTGCCCAGCGTGTAAGGGGGAGGTTTGGATGCCTCCTTGTCTTTGGTAGTCTGGGCCGTGGGTCTGCAGATGCTGTGCGGAGGCCGCAGTGACTGGGCCAGGGGCATCCCGGTTCCCTGTAGGACTGACACAGGCTGCAGGGTCTTGGAGCGAGCCCTTAGTGGGCCGTAGGCTCTTTGTCTTCAGGGTGAATTTTGTGGCGGCCAAGCCTGTGCAGCTGCTCTCTCTGCCTCCACAGCAGCTGCCAACTGGGAGTAGTTTCTGGCTCTTTCCCCGGAGTGTTTCAGGTTGAACTAGAAGCTAGACATTCTGGGGCACAGTCCCAGTTGGGTAGCAATATAGAGATTGTTTCGAAAGGAAAGTGGGGGGCGTGGAGCAGAGAAACTGCTGGGTTCTGCCCCTTGACCCACTTCTTCTTTTCATGGGCATCCTGTGTTTTTCCTCTGGTCCAGCTGCCACCTAAGATAAAGCAGCCGCCCTGCCTGAGCCCTGGGCGATGAGGGTGGGACTGATCCTGTTCTGAAGTGGTTCAGCCCTTGGGTGTGCCTGGGTTGTGCCCATTTGGTTTGGTTCCTGCCTTCTCACCCAGATGCCTGTGTACCTTGGGAATCAAAATGTGGTTGAGATGTCTGGTGGGAAGGGGCCTCTCCAGAATGGCTGAGGGTGTGGCTCCCTTCACCCTGTTGGCTTAGGCCCACTTCCCCTTCATGTTATGAGTTTGACTCAAATGATCCAGGGCTCTCTTCACCCAGGCAGTGGAGCCTAGTTGTTTTTTTGTTTTGTTTTGTTTTGTTTCCCCCTAGTTTTCTAGAACAGCTACTGGTAAAAAAAAAAAAAAAAAAAAAAAAAAAAAAAAAAAAAAAAAAAAAAAAAAAAAAATCCACATTGGTAAACAGCTCTTCTTCCCACCCCAAGCCCTGGAAGCCTTTGAGAGTTTGCAGGGGTTGGGTGCTTCTCCTTCCTGTGAGTGAGGGTAATACGGGTGGTCCTCTCATCTCTGCTTATTATGATTTTCGAGATTCCTAACTAAAGGCAGTCAGCATTGAACTTTGGTGTCGATAGTACAACTCAAAGGTAACACTGCTGTTTTGTTCTTCTTCCCTTATTGTATTTTTCTAAGACCTCTTACTCTTACCTGCAGATTTCCACATCTAGGGAAAATTGGTTCATGAGTGTGCAGCTCAAGACAATTTAGCAGAATGAAAAAAACATTAAGACGAGAGACGGTTACAAGTTGCATATTGTTCTTAAGCTCTAACTTCAGTAAGCAGTTTGCTTTCTACATCATTTTATTCCCTGATGGATGCTGATTTTAAAATGTAAGAGAGGTGTGAGAATAACGTGACTATCATTTTGTCAACCATAATTAAGTAATTAGGCTTCTGGATACAAGCTTAACCTACAGCTCAGCATTTACATCAAACCCAACGATAAAATTTTCTTAAGTGCAAAAACCAAGACGACCAGCCTTAGATCATATAAGACAGGAAAGTTTTCCCAGCATACCCTGCGACATTCAGGTAAAGGGTGCTTCTACCTTTAATATGGAGTATGTTGAGAACACAGCCCGATTTTTGATTTTTCTACATTTGGATGGACAGTAAGGCGTATTATTGGATCCTGTCTCTTGGGACTCATTTCACTGGGATTTAAAAATCTTTGTTTCAACTCTGACTTCTGGTGATTAGCCCTTGGGTTGGAATCCTGAATGTCTTATCACTGCTGCAGGGTTAGGGTTAGGGTTGGGTTAGGGTTAGGGTTAGGGTTAGGGTTAGGGTTAGGCTTCTTCAGAGCAAGTTTCCATCCAAGTGGTCCTGTCCCCACCTTGCCAGCATGCCTGTTGCGTGTTACTTTATTCCAGTCTTCTGTGGGCGTTGGCCACACGGCTCTCAAAGAGGAAGATGAAGGCCTTTTTCTGCTTTTGTTGTCTGACATACCCCATTTTTCACATGACATGGAACTAAGAATAGCTTTCAGATAACAACACTGGGTTCTTCTGACTCAGGTCAAGTATTTCACCCTTTGCCCCTGGAGTTCCTCTTTTCCTCTCTGTGTGTCACAGCCTCTTAATGGGCATGCGTTGCCAGAGGACAGGCAGCAGTGTCTAACTTTGTGCATTTTGTAAAAGTTACACAAGAGCACCAGACAGGTGTCAGCTCCCCAGATGTGATACTGAAACTCCCCTGAGGGCATCTTCATTGTTTTCTTTCTTTGTTCCAGAAGCAAAGGCGGATAATGAACCGAGCTGTTCGCCGGCAGCTCAAGAACTGTTGACAAGGCTGGGATTTTTACTGGGAGAAGGGATCCCAAGTGCCACACACATAACCATTGAAGAAAAAAATGAAACCATGGTAATGCCCGGGGAGCCCACTGCATCCCAGACCTCCCCCGAGGATGATGAAGGGACAGCCATCTTGTCCCACCTGGAGGGGGGAAGACACTGGTTAGTCCAGTGGTCGGCAAACTCACTAGTCAACAGAGCCAAATATCAACAAAACAACGATTGACATTTCTTTTGAGAGCCAAAAACTGACTTTTGCGCATGGGCCAAGTTTCAGCCCGCACGTGGTGTTTTGTGGAAGAGGGGCCAAAAAGCTCTATGTGGCTCGAGAGCCGAAGTTTGCCGACCATTGGTTTAGTCAAATGAATTGGGGCTGTTGTGTATTGAAATGTATTGCAACTTCTTGTGGGTTTTTGGTGGAGGCGGGAGGGGATGGGAAAAGGGGAGATGCAGGAGGGTGCAGAACTTAAGAAAATGTCCACATTAACCTTCCGCAGTCACCACCTGGAGAAGAGTGGCTAAACGAATCGAAGTGGCTGAGAGGATGCTTCAGTAATGATGCTCCTTTATCTTTATAGCCCCATTCTTCTCATGTGGCTGCTTTGGTATATGCTTTCCTGTGCCTTTTTTCTTTTTCTTTTTTTTTTTTTTAGCACTTGAGATTTTGGAGGGTCAGCGGGGTGAGGAAAAGATTTATAGGAGCCGAGGCAGAGACAAAATGAGATGAAACCAAATGGTTCATCTACCAGAGAGCACTCTCCACCCCGGGCACGGCAGCCTGCCACTTCTGAGCCGAGATGTGTCCGCTGCATAGCAATGAGGGGCCGGAGCTGCTGCCCCTGCTGGGGTCTCTGCGTGGGCGTCATGCCTCGGATGAGATCGCACTGACCACCAGCCTCCCTCCCCCTGCCCCCGGGGCCCGTAAATCTCCAGGGTTGCGGCTCCCGTGAAACATGACAAAAACAGAGTTCCCGGATTTTCCCTACAGAGGTCAGAGGACCCATTTGTCTTCTGCAGACTTGAGCTGAGAGGAAGTCTGCCTGTTTGCTATTTCTGTTTTCCAAACATGCCTCCCCACTCAATTATTTCTGAGAGTGCCCTTGCCATAAATAAAACAAACAAGAAAAAAAAAATCAGCAGAACAAGGATGTTTTCCTTGAGCTTTCAGAGACCGTATAGATAGTAAGCTCCCAAGCTTTTAAAAACCATTTTTCCACGTTCCAGTTTCTCTTACGGTTGTTTTAGCAACAAAAGCAGAAGCATGTGTGGAAGCGTCCTGTGTGAGCCCTGCTAACTTTCCTCCTTCCGTTCGTCTTACAGTGCACAGCCCTGAGCCAAGGCATCAGTCCGTGCTCCACACTAACAAGCAGCACCGCATCTCCTAGCACCGATAGCCCCTGCTCCACCTTGAATAGCTGTGTCAGCAAGACGGCAGCCAACAAAAGTCCCTGTGAGACCATTAGCAGCCCTAGTTCCACCCTGGAGAGCAAGGACAGTGGAATTATAGGTAAGAAGCACACTGCTCGGTAATGTAACGGCTCAGTGCACGTCAGCCAGAGCGTTTGTACACCAGGCTCTTCCTCAGAGGGGTGAGCACACTCGGTGAAGGTCTGTCTGTCAGCGCTTTGCAGACAGCACTGGCTCTGTGCACAGCCAACAGAAGGAAGCATCGGCTTTTATGTTCCTTGGCGTTTCTTGTATAACACCGAGCTCATCTGGTAAAAAAAAAAAAAAAAAAAAAAATTCCGGATCGGATCTCGCCTGTGGGGTTACAAGAATCTGCCCTCCTCACCAGTGAGTTGCATTTGTTGGAGGTTGGGTTCCATCCGGATGCAGCAGGGTGGTGAAATCCTGGCATATCTCGGAGTTTCCTCGGTCCAATCTCAAGGTCACTCGCGTCCCTACGTATTTCCAGGCGTTTGTTCTTTAGTTTCTCATAATGGGATCGGACCGGTTTTGAGGCCAGGATTTTCTGAGAGTGGCTCCCTTTTGATTCCCCCACACTTACATAGTAGGCGTGCGCGTCCTGGCATGAGGATCAGGAGACACGGATTGTAGTCCTGACTCAGGCTGCTCAGCTGCCTTGTTTGAGCAGTGTTGAATTGAGCTCTTTACACATCTCTTTCCTCTCTAAAATGAAGCAGTCCGATTAGTTTAGTAGTTTCTGGTCCCAGGTGCGTAGTGGCATCATCCAGGGATTTTAAGAGCCCTTGTTTTCACATCTCATTCCGGACAGACTGCACTTAAGTTTCTGCAGGCCCTTCAGATAACAGCTGTGTGGGACCCCTGGAGGGTTGTTCAGGTCCTCCTCTGCTCTAAGTCCATGCTGCTGTTAACATCTGTGTTCCTCCAGGCAATTCAGCTCCTTCCCTTTTGCTCCCATATTAATATGTAATTAAACGGAATGGCATGTGAGTTTCTGATTTTCTTCAGTGACCTGCAATCTCTTTTTCAGCGCAGTTTGAAAATCCAAGTTGCAGGTTCAGAATCCACGTCTGTATTGTGGAGGTGGCCCCAGAAGGTCTGTGAGATTCCCGGTCCGGTTTGGGGGCAGCCTGGTGTCGCCCTCACCGTGGCTTTGTGTGGGGTCCCTCAGCATAAGGAAGGCATTGTCTTCCTTCAGTTTTTATGTGGATTAGGCTCTTTACTGGGGTTTTGTTTCGTCAATTGCTTTACTGACATATAATTCATGTACTATAGTATTCACCCATTTAAGCCACTGAATGGTTTTCGTTATATTCAGTTATACAGCCATTACCACAATCTGATTTCAGAACGTTTCCATCACCCCAGAAAGAAAACCTATGCCCATTGGAAGTCACACCTCATTTCCGCTCTCACCTCCAGCCCTGTTCAGGCTACTTTCTATCTGAATAGATTAGCTGAATCTGGACATTTCATATAAATGGTGGGTGGAGGTTTTTGTAGCAAATTTAAATTCTCACCTCACTCTGCTTCCCCACCTGCTGTGTAGTCTAGTTCAGCTAACTTTTCCTGTGTTACTTCTGTTCTCATGCCCTCATGTCCTCCCTCTCTCTGAGTTGCTCGCCATTGCCAGATCTCTAGTATTAATATGTGATAGCCAGGTAACTTCCTTTACATCATTCTTAGTGCTTCTTAAATTCCCTTGCCGTACAGTTGATTTTTATTCAAGGAGTCCGTCAGTGCTACCATTTTTGGGGGGACAAAAAACTTTTCCTTTACAGTGTATGTTCTGGCATTAGCATTATTGCCATTACTGGCATTAAGAAACCAAGCCAGTTTCTTATTTTGACAAACTTTTTCAGTCACAAAAATATGACCATTCATTCATTCATTCATTCATTCATTCTTCTCTCTCACTGTCTCTTTTTCTCCCTCTCATGGAGATACAGTGCTGCAATTTATAGAGTTCTAATGAAAGGAAAGAAAAGTTGCTGGTTGAGTTTTCTTTATTGTCCATGAAAGACCGAGGTGCTGGAATATTGAAGCCCTTAATGAGTTCTTGATTTAATTCAGGTCCCCTCAATCCCAGACTGCTTCTCTTATTACACATTCTCTACAGCACTTCAGTATTTCCTTCAGTTGACTTTTTCTTGTTTTATTATTTACTTCTGTCTCCACATGGAAAGAGGTCTCATCTGTAGTATCCCAGCTCTCCCCTGAGCTCCTGGCTCGGAGTCGGGAATGAGAAATGAAAGAAGAGTGCAGGATTCCCATCCAAGTTGGCACTGCCCCATCATTTAATGTCACCCGTATTTTAAGCTCTCTTGATCTTATAGCTAAATGGCACATTTTAAGGCATTGAAGCTGTCCTTCACTTCTTGGCTCAAGACAGCGTGTTCCCTTAACTCAGCAGAGGAGTGGGAGGCATTGAGAAAGGGGTAGGTCCCTCTTTTACGGAAAACTCCAGATTGGAGACTGGGCGTCTTGTTGCTCTAGCTGGTCTGCAGGCGGCAAGGATGTAGGTGGCTGGGAGGGAAGCACTGAGCTGGTGGAAACGCTCCTCTGTGCCCTCTCCTCCCCTGGCCTGCAGAAGGACAGACTGTGGCCAAGGGGCACATTGAGGTGTGGCGTAGGGGGCAGGAAGAAAAGCAAGGGTTTCCTCTCCAGACGGACTGTAGCCACAGCTCTTTGAAGGAGCAGGGGCGGTGGGGCCGAGGAGGGAAGGCAGTTCCTCCCTAGTCAGGACAGGGTGTGCGGGCTTCATGGCCCTTCAGAAAGCGGGCATCCGTGACCCTGCGGTGTGTCTGGGGCCGCTGGGGCTGCGTGTGTGCTCCCCCCCCCCCCCCCCCGCCGAAGAACAGTGTATGTTTTGATAAGGTGTAACCTGGGAATGGCAATCTTGGTGCCTCTTCAGCATTCCACAGAATGAAATGCTCAGGAACACCGTGATCCCAGTGGGCAGAGATGAAAGGGAGATAGCTTGGCTTTCTGGTTCAAAAGGCCTGGCAGCTGCTGCTAAAATAGGCCGATCCGGGTCCATGTTCCAACGCAGAGCCTGCAGATGAGGGGAGGAGACTTTCCGCTTCATTTTCCATCTTAAAGTTGTTTAAGATTTGTCAGTCCATAGAGCCGGGTCCGAGCGGCAGAGGACCTGGGGTTGGCGGCGGTGAAGCCCATGCAGCTTATGGCACAACACGCTTTGGGGAGCTAGAGGCTCCCGGACTATCGGGCTCCGATCAAACTGCCATGGCCCAGCACGAACACAAGTTATGTGGGGCTGCCAGGGAAATCTCAACCCATCCTTCAGCATTCCTGGGCCTCCCCTTCCACTGAAGCTGATTCCCATCGGGCTGATTGTATTTGACCTACACTTTCTGCCCAGCAGTGCCGAGGGGAGCTTGTTCCCACACGCCCAGACAGCCTCCTCGGGCCGCCACCCGGTGCTCTGCCTGGGTGCTGTTTCACTGGCTTTGAAACATTGCAGGGGAAGAGAATTTTCCTTTTAGGAACTGCTTAGTGGGAGAAAAGGCGGGCTAATAACCATTAGAAGAATTTATTGGGTCCCTTCCTGTCTTTCTCTGTGGAGGCCAGAGCTTAGCAGACATCCCCTTCTGCCTCAGCAGGACCCCCCAACCCCCCTCTCTGTTCCCACTTTATTGTGTTATACAGAGGGGAGTCCCACTTTATCCTATTTCAGAGGTTCAGGTTCTGCCAACATAAATGCCTTTAGAAGTATAATAATTCTGTCATGTAGAAATACTGTCTAAGCTGAATGGGATTAACCGAATTCCCTATGAATATCTTCTTTCTTTTCTTTCTTTTTTTTTTTTTTTTAAGTGAAATTCCTTACTCTCCACGTATTGAAATCACTGGCATGACCTAGACATTAGTGTCTGATTTTTCAAATTGGACATGTGAAAACCTTCCAAATGTGAAACCCAGCTGTACCCAATCATCGTAAACTGGTTTCTCAATTACTTGCTTTGAAAAGGGGAAAACTATAAAGAAGTGGCTTTTAAAGGTGTTTCCTCCATGCCTGAGAAAACATTTTTTCCCTTCGAGATACTCCCTTGATGTAACTTGCTTCCAGCTGTTAGAAATGGAAATTGGAATAAAGTATATTCTCTTTGGAATCTGTGTGAAAACCAATCTGATTTTTTTTTAATTTATTGATGAGAGAGAGAGAGAGAGAGAGAGAGAGAGAGAGGCAGACTGACAGACAGAAACATGGATTTGTTGTTCCACTTATTTGTGCATTCATTGGTTGATTCTTGTATGTGCCCTGACCGGAGACTGAACCGGAAACCTTGGTGCATTGAGACAATACTTTAACCAACGCTACCCAGCCAGTGATGCTTTAAAAAAAAAAAAAAAAAAAATCTGATTTTTTTTTTAAAGTATCACTGCAAATAGTGGGTTTTGAAACATTTTTTATATAAACATATTGTTTAGCATATATGTCCATAGCATGATCAACATTTTAAGTGTGAGTGTGTATCTCTATCTTAAGAAAATGGGCTTTTCTCTATTAAGAAAGAAGGAAATTGGATATTAGATGAGGAAAAACAAAACAATACCCAGCTTTCCATATCAAGATTTTTAAAAATAGTAAGTCTTTCTGATCCATCAACATATGTGGCCAGGACAAGGACTTACAGGTAACAATTAGAACAATTTCTGGCTGAGAAAAGAGGTTGTAGGAAGTCAGTCATCTCCTCTATTTCCTCCTTCCACTGCCTGCAGGTACCTGCTGACGTGTGTCACCTGCAGATGGCTTTTGTGGATGTGTTTCCTTCTGAGAGCTGGTGGGTGTGAGGACAGCTCCGGTGGGTGAGAGGGTCCTAGTGACAGGGGCCTGCCTCCCCCCTGGGGGTGTCTCCCGCACAGAGCAGGTGTGTTCACCTGCCTGGCTCCCTGACATCTGAGCCACCGCACTCCTCAGGGCCAGGACGATTAAATGCCCAGGATTTGAAAAGGGGGAAAAGCAGGAACCAGGGTTCTTCCTGCTGCCATTCCCCCTGCATTTGCTTTGGTCCTTCTCGCGGTAAAGCTGGGAGGCAGGAACACGTGCCTGCAGAGCAA